TGACCAAGAAGCTGTTGTCCAAACGGAGCAGGGGAACACTGCATAGTTTAAAACCAGGAAGTGTGTACATGAGAGTTATATCCTTTCTCTATATCGGTTCAATCTATGGTAAGCAAACAATTCACGAGCTGGACTGTATGAGGAAGAATGTGGCGTCAGGACTGGAGGACGACTCACTAACCTGTGTAATGCTGATGACACAAATTTGCTTGCTGAAATGAGGAGGATATGAAATGCTTGCTGTAGAAGATCAAGGACTACAGACTTTGGTATGAATTACATCTTAATCTCAAGACAACAAAGGTCCTCAATATAGGAAACAAAAGTCAATATTATGATAGATGGAGAAAGGATTGAAGCTATCAGTGATTTAATCTTGTTTTATCAACAATCATCATCCTTGGCACCACTGTTGTTGTTGTTGTTGTTGTCAAGTGCTGTTGAGTCGTAGGTGACTCATAGTGACCCTATGAAGGAGAGTACTCAACACTTGTGTGTCTCTCATCCTCTCTCCAGGTTCATAGGGTTTCCGGAGGCAAGCTATTACGGAAGTGGATGCTGCTCCTGCTTCCAAGCTTGTTTTAATTGGGAGTTTCACCCAACACTGTCCACCATGGGTAACCAACCATTAACGCATTTGACACACCAGCATCACAGTGTTCAGCCTCACAGCAACCACAAGTTACCGATGTATGGCAAGTGGACACACCAGAGTTATACGACTTAGAGGAATGTTTGAACAAAAACTACGAAAGACAGGCCAGAGGGAAGCTCTGGTGGCCTAGTGGCAAGAAGCTGCACTGCAATCCCAGAAGTACACAGTTCGAATCCACCAGATGCTCTGCTGGAGAAGGAGGGGCAATCTCCTCCTGTACCAGTCAGATTTGACGGAACACACACCCTTGACACTAGCAGTCAGGAAATTGGGAGACACATTGCACTGGGCAAGTCTGCTGCCAGGGACCTCTCCAGGATGCTGAAGAGCAGTGATTTCAATTTGAAGACTACGGTGCACCTGATTCAGGCCATCATCTTCTCAATCACCTCCTATGCATCAGAGAGCTGGATGATGAATAAGGATGACAGAAAAAGAATTTATGTCCTTGAGTTGTGCTGGAGAAGAGTATTGAATGTCCCATGAACTGCCAAAAGAACAAACAGATATATCTTGGAGAAAGTGCAGCCAGAGTGCCTCTTGAAGCCAAACATGGAGAAGTGTCATCTTTCAGACCTTGGACATTTGGTGAGGAAAGGTTATTCACTGGAGAGGAACATGATGCTTGGAAAGATGGGAGATCAGCAAAGGAGAGGAAGACCCCCAAGGCAATGGATTGACATGGTGACTTCAGCAATGGGCTTGAGTGTTTAAGAGATGATGAAGATGGCACGGTATGGGGCAGGATTTAGATTGGCTTGTTCATAGGGTCACTATGAGTCGTACTTGACATGATGGTACCTAACAACAACAAGGTGACAACAATCATGTTCTCTGAATGGCCACACCAAGACCACAATAGTTCCTTTTCACAAGGATCCTGAGAAAAAACTTTGCCCAGAGTATAACTTGCTCTTCGAAGTTTTTAAAGTCCAGAGAGCATGCTGCCTGATAAATTTAGTGGAGTCCATGGGTGCTGGCATTGCTAAGTGATCACCAGCAGGGGGCTAGTATTCCCACACACTCTACCCAGAGACCTGATGTGTGAGCCAAGTCTGCTTTGCTATATGGAAGCAACTCTTGCCTAAGTAGAAGCAGAACCAGTGGTAATACCAGGATTGAGGTCTGTTTTTGAGTAAGGGGCAAATGATCTGGGTAGGCGTCTCTCTCTCTCTCTTTTTTTTAACAGTAGCTTGTCTCCTGATGTCCTAGTCTTCCTCCCCTAGAACTGGGAAACATGCCTGGCCTAAGAAATGGTTTGGGAAATGCTCAATACATCTTAAACCAGCTTCAGGCAAGTCAATCCTGCCTCCTGGTGACCTCATGTATTTTAATGTCTAATCGTTCCAAAGATGTTCACCAAGTCTTTCTTCAAGGTACCTCTGAATAGGTTTGACTTAGCAAGTTTTCAGGGAACGGTATTAACCATTTACATTGCTAGGAAGTCCTTACTACACAAGTGCCCCTGGCGGGTTGACCCTGCTGCAAGCAGCGCCTGCCTTCATTCTGGCTGGTGACCAGCTACAGCGTGTGTCAGCCCAGGGGCCCCCTTGTCTCCTCTCTGTCCTTCCTGCAGGCAGGTGTGTGGGGAGGGCCTCCACAAAAGCTTGGCACATTCGGGCAGCGACTCCGGCCTGCCGACCAGCAGCCCTCTAATTCTCTCTGCCTGGCGCGCTGTGGTGCCTACACCATGGAAGGTGTTGAGAACTGCATCCCACTCACGACCAACAGACCTGCACTTCCCAGTGCAGCAAGCAAGTGGAGTTTTCTGTCCTGAAGTATCGAAGCAGTTCACTCAGCTCAAGCCCGGCACCCTTTTTGGGAAATACTAAAGAGATGGAAACCGAGGGACGTAATGATAAAACCCGGGTCCCCAAAGAGGAGGAGAACTACTGCACCAACGGCATCAGCAGCAAGACTTCCTGACCAGAGGATCCTGTACTGCATGAATGAGGCGGAGCTTGTGAGCATCCTGAGCATCCTGATGGAGGGCTGCAGACAGGAAAACCCTCCAAAGAAGGACCTGGTAATGGGGAGCGATGTCACCGAGGTCTCCTGAGGGCACCAGTGAGCATAAGGGACAGTGCCCCGCAGCATTAACCCCTCCCAGGGATCCCAGAATCTGACTCCACCCTCACCTGCAGCCAAAGCCCAGCAGACAAGGACGACACCCTGAAATAAGTCAGGGAGATGTTTTTCAACTGAGGAACAACTGGGACTTTTTGCTGAGAGCTGCTGAAGGACAGAGCTGTCTGCCCTCAGCCTCTGAATCCCTGGTGCAGCCGTGCTGGGCGGGGGGCACACCCACCCGTGGCACTGTCCTGGGAGCACATCCACAGTGTGGGGCATACTCACCCCCGGGGCACACTCCTGTGTGTGGGCACACCCACCCCAGGGCACTGTCACTCTGCAGGTTTTCCGTGCAGGACAATCCACCAGTCACTCTCCCCAGGGTTTATGCAGGTTAATTAAAGCAGACTTTGGAGAGAAGGAGAGAAAGAAAGACAGACAGAGAAGAGAGAGGAAATGAG